TTATTATTATTATGATTATGATTATTATCATCATCAAGTTTATTACTATAAAACTATCAACAATTTTATCATTATCATCGCTATCAAAATCAATGACTTTAAATTATAAAGTAAACAAATACAGTTATCTTGAGAGATCTTTTTTTACAAACCAAATCGAACTTGGCTCACTCAGGAAAGATCGACACGCACGCAGTGTGAAAATAGAATCAGTAACATGCAATCCTTCACTAACTCTTTTTAAAAAACTGAATATGGTCTAAGTGGAGATAATTTTGTACATTGGTTCATGAATCCCTCACAATGCGATGAAACAGAACTCTCATTCTTAAAAAAGTAATTTTGTTACCAAACCAAAACCTACCATGTGCGAAATCGTCGAATGGCATGCAATAGTTGGCTGTCATCTGGCGCCAGTGGTAGTCCACGTAGGCGCGAGTGAAGCCCTGGTACTGTGTCCTTACTCTTGTCCACTCGTCCTGGCAAACCTCGCTGTTACCTGCTCCAGAGAAATAACATTATGTCTGTTTATGTTTTACGCCTTCACCGACACAATTAAGATTATTTGGGCGGTGTGTTTAGACCATGTGGGGTTGTTTTCTTGGGTGGGTTTTTTTTGTAAGTGTTTAACGGCGCTCGCAACTGCCTAAGGTCATATGAGCGCGTGGGGCATATGAAACATTTTTGGTTGGTAGGAAATTTTGAACTTTGCCCCGGTGGCGGTCCAACATACTCTTATCGATTTTAGACCACTATGGGATCTTTAACGTGCGAAACATGCACACGGGACCTCCGAGATTATTCGCCCTTGTCCGAGAAGGCTAGGTGTAGATCTTTCCTACCAGAAGATTATGGGTGTGACTGAAAGACAGCAGTAAGAAGGAGCGTAGGAGTAGCAGTAGATAGGCTGCAGAAAGAGTCAAGAGCCCAGAGGAAGGGCAAAGGAGGTGAGGGGGTAGGGGCAGAAAGTGGAGCGGAGACAAAAGCAGACGACAGAACATTGTTGGAGAGCAGGAAGGGAGATGAAAGTAAACAATAATTTTAGAGAAGAAAATTTTTCTGTCGCTACCCGGATTTGAACCCGGGACCTTTAAATGAGAGGCGAACACCTTTACCTCTAGGCCATGAGAGCCCCCAGATCATGTGTACCTGGGCCAACCCTAGCAGAAAGACGGAGATACTCGATGAAAAACCTCTCCATACGGGAATCGAACTCAGATCTTCTGTGTCTGACGGCGA